TCTTCAATTCACCTAACTCTAAAGCTGGCATCCTATAAGGAGCCATTGACACCAGACTTGTACCTGGTACCAACTCTACAGATAACTCTACCTCAAGCTCTGAAGTAAAATCATTTATGACATCTAGAAACACCTCTGGAAATTCACAGACAACGAGTACATCAACACTTGCAGCTTCACGATCAACTCGCAATGGTTAAAACATTGCAAACATCAAAGCTTCATCTTCTAAAAGTTCTCCTATTTTCTTAGCAGACAAAAACATCATCTCTCCACTATCACCAAACTTAGGAAACCTCATAGTATTATTATAATAGTTGATATGAACATAGTTGAACTCCATCTAATTAATTCCAAGGATAACGTCACTTTGGTGCAAGGGTAGACACACTAAATCTGTTATAAAACTCTTATCAAAGATAGTTAACGGACAACTCAAATAGACGTAAGTAGTAGTAACAGAACCCTTCGCATGAGTGTATATCACCATACTACCATTTATAGAAGATAACTTCAATCCCAACATCGTGGCACATTCAAGTGAAATTAACGAATGAGTAGCACCAGTATCAATAATAGCAATCAACTCAACATTGTTAATTTGACAAGTACCTCAAATCTGGTTATCCTTCTTGGGGACCTCTGAACCACTCAAAGCAAACACTCTTTCATTAGTCTTAGCAGCATTGGTTGTCTTCCTTGGCTTCTGACACTGGGTACTGATGTGACCTTGTTCACCACAGTTGAAATAAGTCGTACCATCATTCTTTACTCAGAAGCATGATGATCTATCTTACCACATTTGTAACATCTCAGCACTTTATTGTCTCAACTATCAACACAGTGGCCTTGCTCGCCAAACTTAAAACACTTAACAGAAGCCGGAGCTCCTCCCCCACTTGGCTTCTTCTCATCAAAAATTTCTTGCTTCCCTTTGTAAATAGGAGCACTATATGGCTTGCCCCGATCTTGGTTCTTCCCTTTCTTCTCATTATAACTCTTATAAAAATAATATTTGGCTCTAGTTTCATTATTGTAGATCTTTCACTTATTCACTAGCACGGGAAACTGGTGAATCTCGTGATATCTAATTCCCTGCTTAATCTCAAGACGCAACCCATTCTTAAATTTGATACACTTAGATGCCTCAGCTACCGAATTATTATAATGCGGACAGAACTTTACCAACTCTTCAAACCTGGTAGCATACTCAGTAACAGTTGAATTCCCTTGCTTCAACTCAAGGAATTCAATATCCTTCTTGCATCGCACATCTTCAGGAAAGTACATCTCTAAGAATATAGCTCTGAATACAGCCCAAGTGATATATGTACCATTATCCCACCAGTCTTCAGCCTCTGCTTCCAACATGTGGGTACCAAACTCCATCTTCTGCTCCTCTGAGCAAACCATCACCCTGAAGATCTTCTCGATCTTTCTGAGCCACACCTGTGCACCATCAGGATCATGTGTTCCCTTAAAGATCAACGTGTTATTTCATTGATACCTTTCAAAAGCACGAAACTTATCATTCCCTCCAGCATTCTGGGGATTCTGCTGATTTTAGGCTATTGCCTGAGCCAATGACTCCAAATCCTCAACAGTTGCATCATCATTTTTTCCTCCAGCCATTTCTCTCTGCATATAGGCAAACATCATTATAAGAATGAAACATCGATTGTGTTTACACACAAATCGATCACCAGGATACAAACATCATATAAAAATCTGGCCGGACAGACCGACCCGATCTGATACCACTAATGAACACCTTTATAAACCCCATATATTATTCACAAATAATTTAATTAAAAACCACCACACAAGGGTTCACACTACTATGGAAAACCCCTTTCACAATGGTTGGAAAAGGGGTGTCATTACATGGGTCATACCGTTGTTAAGTAGATATGGTTGTAAGTTCGTTGTTTCTACCATGGTATTGAAACCGTTGTTGAAAGGAGGGACACATGTCACTTATCATAATTGTTATACTTATAAACCATTGTGATATGTACACTTAGGTACTAGGTTCAAAACCCATCGGCAGCAAATTATGTAAAACATAAATGACCTTTGATCACGGTTACAATAGATAATCATTGTTAAAATAACCCAAAGTTTAATATATAATATATAGATTTCTTGTTTTCCATACACCTAACTAAAGAAATACAAGCTTTCAAATTTATGAAGTCTATAATCTGAAAATTAAACTATTCTTGAAAACCAACTTAAACAAACCATTGTTTTTTATTGCATGCGTATCGTCGTGCATTACATGCTCTTTTACATATTTATTGTGGTTTATTGGTATAACTCCTTTATACATTGTTATCTTTGATTATATTTAAATTTCCATAACAACAAGACATTGTATAATCTGCCTCATCATCATCACTTATCATTGTAATTTTTATAATTATAATTTTTGCGATCATTGGTGTTGATGATGGGGCAGATTATACAATAAATTATAGTTAATGAAATTTAACTATAATCGAAGATAACTATGCATCTAAGGAGCCAGGTTATTATACCATAATCTATATGAAAAATAACATGAAATGAACGATGAGACACTTGCAATTCGGAAACAATGATTGATATAAGTTGGTTTTCAAATACAACTTAATTTAAAGATTATAAGTATCTATGTGAATTTAAATGAATGCATTTTAAGTGAGGGTTAGTGAAACAAACAATCTACATAGAATATAATAAACTCAAACAACATCCTAGAACATAACCATATATTATAAATTTGTGAGCAATGAAAAATATATATTATAAATTTCCTGAACGCGTCTTTTATTGAAACTAATCGTGGAACGGGAATTAATTATGAAGTTCATCTAGTTTGTGAAGCAATAAAAAAGAAATATAAGGAGGAAAAAGCTTACACAACAGCTTCATACTTCTTATATTTCTTCTCATTGTATCTCAAACTAGATGAAGTTTGTTGCTGTTGTTGCTTCTTCGTTTACTAAAATGTTTTGTTCTTGTTGAGTCATACAATAACCATGAAAGTTATCAACATGTGAAACCGCAAACTTATTTGTCAATTGGGTATGAAAATTATCTTATTCGTGAAGCTATGAAGAAGAAGTACAATGTGGATGAAGTTTCCATCATAGTTTTGTGCTTCTTGTACTTTTCCATAGCTAAAGTATGGTCTTTGTTAAGGTAGTGAAGACGAATCTGAAAAAATGAGAACAATCAACAAAAATAACATGCAACAAACGAGATAATGGGGAACTGTCTAACACGAAGATGGAAGAAGAAGAATACCTTAACGTATGAAGCACAAGATTCGCGGGTAATGGCGAAGAAGAAGAGAAAAAATGGGTGCTAAGGTTTCACTGTGAAGGAAACAACGCAACTGTCAGTAAGTGAGAGTTAATTCGCTTATATATGGGTAAACTATTTCACAACGGTTAACACTACCAACCGTATTGATAAGTATTTATTTATTATAAATATATCACAATGTTGGATCATACCAACCGTAGTCATATCCCTTTAAGTTTTTTATTTAAAACTAAATAAAAAAGAAAAGGTGCGCATTAACATTAAACGAATAATATAAATAATGGCGTTGAGGTTCAAACTCATGAAAGCTTGATGGTTTCACCATGTTTGGCTCCTCAATCATTGTTACATACAAATAATATTTAATTAAAAAACTAAAATAATATGGGAGCGCCTTAGCTTAGAGATGTCACCACGAAGTAGTGAAGAACGGTGATGACCATGACGTTATTGTTTACGTGTTTTGTAGTAGTGGTGTCACAATTCATAACAAAACAACATAACAAAATCCTGCTCCGTAGAAAAGGTTACAACATTTAATACATCATTCTCATTGATACAACGGTAACACATCAATAAAACTTCACAGCAGATAATCATAGTCATAAAGAAAACTTCATTCATCTTTCAAAACTCAAGTATTATCTTCTCATCAAAGGCATTATTAAAACCCACTTTAACATCTAAAAATCCTCACAAAACATGTTAACAAGAATAACGTCGTTCGCAAACATAGCATTCTCAACCCTATGTTACATATCAGAGCAAGACACCACTACCATACCCCAAATTTGTCCTACCTTTTCACTTTTATTTGGCTTAGGATTTGCATTTCATTTTCATCAGGACATTAACATATATAAGGCAGTGGTTCAGAGCATCAGTGGTTGTGCTAACTAGGGTTTAATCTTGGTTTGAGGATTCTACAATCTACAATTGATTTCCTTGGTTCCTCCTTGGGCAGTGGGTAGTGGAATCAGGTTTTGAAGTATGGTCATCATGGATCCCTTCTCTTCAAGCTATAAAGGATATTCTCCATCCAAATTCATCAGATCCTGAATTAGGGTTTATTTCCCTATTGTTTGTTAAGAGACTAGGATTTTAGATCCATGGTTACTGTGAAATTCTTCTTTCATCTTCCATCAAAGATTTCACAAAGATCAAGTGCGTCAAGGTTTTAACTTGTGGTGTTTAAGTTTCATCATATTTCAATTGAGGATTAGGGTTTTCATCTTGGGCGGTATTTGATTCAAGTATCATTTCTCAAGGATTTTTCAAGTCATTGCTTAAAATCATCAAGTAAAGAATAAGACAAAGGACTTGTGAATTAAATTGAATCATGATGCAAAATTTGGAGTTACGGGTTCATTGTAATAAAGGCATTCTTACTCCCTCAAGTACTTGTTGTTTCTAATGTAAGAGGATTTGGACTTAAATTTGAAGATAGTTTTGAATTTGGATTCATTTGAGTGTTTGGTTTGAGATTCATCCAAGTTTTATTCATTCATCACCATCCAACTTATTCAAAGTTCATTTTGATTCAAGGTTCTTTTACAAACAGGCTTGTATCAAGCATTTCATCACCAAAGGATTTCAATCGAATTTCAAAGATCATTAAAAACTCATTCAAGATTCAAGAATCATCATTCCATGATTCAAACACATCATTATCCAAAACATTTCATTCAATGGTTGTCAAAAGTTCACAAATACATCATCATTCAAGTTCAATGTCAAATTCAAGTGATATTTCAAATTTCATTTATTTTGATCCAAGGTTCTTTACAAAAGAAATTTCAAGATTCCTTGGAAAAAACCTTCAAACTTCATTACTAATTCATCGTAATTCATCCACAAATTTCAAGCAACTTTACATTATTTATCGTTTACAAGTACACTCAAGTTTTCTTTACAATACAAGAAAACAAAAAGAAGAATGTACATCCTAAAGCTATTCCATGAGCTTGTGTGGGCCGAAACTTCAAATTCTTCAAGCTCCTTTCCAAGCTCCATGCTATCCAAAATCCCTTCTTCAAACTTGCCTTGCCTTCTTCACCTTCCAATCAACAACCATCACATGAAACCAAAAGAGAGGAAATTTGTTAATTTAATCATCATTAAAACATAAACAAGAAGTCTTCAAGCAAAGTTTTCTTCTAATCTCATCATTAGGGTTTATGAAGGAATCAGAAACAAGGGATTTGAATTAAATCATGTGCCAAAGTCCAACAAAGGCCTCATTATCTTGCAAAATCAGATTCTATCATTGGCCTAAGAGTGTTCCTATTCCAAATCACAAAACTGGTTTGGTTCACAATAAGACAACTTAAGAGACAAGCCACTGCAGTAAAAAAATCAATAAAAAACATTGTCAATAGCTCAGCCCTGCTGCAAACAGTATGCTTCACTGTAAAACCAAACAGAACAAGTCAAAACCTATCAAAATTCCAAACATGACAGTCCAATGCTGCAAAACCTTGCACAAGAATAGAAAACTAAAAACTGCATCAAGAAGGCATTATAACAGCATACCTAAACATTTCAAATTCATGCTATCTTTCCCCCAAAAACCCCTTATTTTCAATATAACAGGGACTGAAAAGATATAGCAGAAGAGGAGAGAAAGGGGATATTGTTCGAAGAATCACAACGAAACGGTAGCAACCGAAAAACAAAAAAAAAACTAACAATATCATCATCTTCCCTTTTCAAAAACCCCTTGACAAAAATATAGAGTATTGTTCAGCAAAAACCAGAAACGGCACAAACCCTAAAACGAGTTCATTACCTCCCTCAAACAACCCTTCAGAACTATATAAAAATCATACATATAAAACCTTTAGAAAAGCAAAAAATCACTCACAGATACAGCAACATTAGCAAGCTATCAAGCTAACAAGTAAACCTTAATCCATCATCATTTTCCTACACTAAACCCTTCATAAATTGAAAGAAGAAGAGGAAAAGAAGTGTGAAATTGCAAGCTCCGGATGGAGAGAAGAAGAGTGAAAAACAGAAAGATCTCACCAAAGTATCCTCATAAATGATGCCTTCGCCGCATCATCATCATCATCATCATCATCGCTGGAAAATCATGGATCGAACGCCTAGGGTTTCAAATCTTCCTTTCCAGATCTACGTTCAACCAGCCAACATCTGAAAACTCAAGTTGCAGATTAGATATCAGAAGAAGGAGACGATCAAGAATATATAACAAAAAAAAAATCGGAGCAAGTCGCCTCAGTGCCGCCGTGAATATTCATTAGCACTACCTTGATCTTCATCATTACCATCGTCGACCTTTGAAACAACCACTGTGTTGATTTGCTTTAGTGACATTTATTTTTGGTTTGCTTGTTTTTGTTTAATAGAGAGAGGGAACGAGAGAGTTATGAAAGGGGAGTGAGACAAAAGTCTCATTTAATTAAAATCCATCCCTAATTCTCATTTTGTTTTTAAAAATTAATATCAATTAACTAACTAATCTGACAGTGACACTTGTCACTACCCTTGTGGCTAATCTTTGTTGATTTCGTGCAGTTACCTCCACCGTCTATATCATACGCCTTAATCCTCCATCCGTGAGATCATCATCATTCGTCCATCATCAGATCTGGTGCTCCCTACCTGTGCATCCACAGTACTCCTTCAGAAGCTGCCACGCACTGGATCAGACGGATCCATCTCCTTGGGCCTGGACTCATTTTTCTATTCAGTACCCCCTCCAGTTACTAATTCTAGGCCCATTTTTATTCTTTTTTTTTTGTATAGTTTTGTCTAGATGTTATTATTATTATAAAAATATAAAATACAAAAATATAATTACCTTTTTAAAAAAAACAATTAAACTAAAAATGTTACTTAATATTATTAATTATTTTGATTAACTAATTTTATTATAAAAATGATTCAGTTTAATTAGTTGTTTAAATAATTAGATTGAGTTGTATTGTTTGTTTATTTAGACTTTTAATCGAACTTTCGATTCGATTCATCCCCATTTGTAAATTTGTACCCCCATTCCCATATGGTTGTAATAGCTTAGGGTTTATTTCTTTGTGTGTTTTAATTGTTGTTTAATTATGCATATATCATTCAAGTAGAACACATGGCCTCCACTTGGGCTCATCATCAATGAGAACGTAACCACCTACACATGAACACTCACACACATTCATAGCTTGGTCCTGGGCTTTCCTACGGTGACAAATATTTGATCGATTGTTTCAATTGGTCATTTAGAATACTAGCAACATGCTAGTCCCACTCTCTAGGAGCATGCATATGGCCACCTTGTATGGGCTTACTTGATTTTTTATCTTGTGGATTGAGTTGACTTTTATCTCCTTATCTCAATAATTGGAGTCTTCTCTCCTCTTGGTCCGCATACCGAGCTTTTCTTAAAGGATCTCATAGTTGAGTTTAGGCATGGTCATTCTCACAAGATTAATTAAGTTTTGCCCTTGATTAATCATAACCCTAATCAATCACTTTGGTCAATATACCAAGTGTTTCCATGTACAAAGGGTCTCATGGTTGAGGGTAGAAGCACCAACTCTCACGATATTAACCAAGTACACCCCTTGGTTAAGCATAACCCGATTCAATTCACATACACCAAGCATTTTATTTATGTCTTGCATGATACTACTCATTTTGTCATCTCTTTTGCCATGATTTTTCAATCCATCATTGGTGTGACCCTTGTGCGCTTGAGTATTAATTTGGTTAATCATCGGAAAAATTCCCATAAGTCTTTTGAGCTTATCGTACGCACTTGAAGAGGCAACGGGCCTTCTTCGTTTGGTATCATCGTAGCTCTTTTACATCTCATTCTTGATTATTTCCCTACTTGTCTTAACTTTTACACCCTGAGCCCCAAGCCTATATTGCATGACCTTCACACATCATTTGACACTTCACTCCTCACTATGAATGATCACTCTTCACAAACACACTGTCTCCTATTGCTCGATGCTTGTTTTCTTTTTTCTTTGAATAACATGCTACCTTAGGATGTTAGTTTCATCTTATTTAAGATGAGAACTAATTAGACATTAGGTTCTTACCCATGCATGCAAAATTAGATAAATGTTTCCCTTTCAAACCTAACCTTAGGGCCATCATTGAACGATAACACTAGGGCTAGAATTAGGTTAGTCTCCCTTATACTTTTCTTTTGCATTACGTATTTCCTAAATTAAAACAAAAATTTCTTTCTTCATTAAAAATACCCAAAAAACACTTAATCATTATTCAAACCCATCCCACACTTAACAAAAACACACAACAAATTCTCCTCAAAAGGACATGTTATCTCCGTTCTACTGCGATACCGGACATGCCTATTGCTAGAACACATTCGTTAATATCGCCCACTAAAGAACACCAACAAACCAACATTTTCTAGAAGAACTACGGTGTTCGGATTCCTTCACGGGATACGTAGGAAAATGGTTGCGAGACCCTCACGAACACACTAATGAAAAACCATTTCATTCCCCTTAGCAAGCATAGTTATAGATAAACACACCCTTAGAAGCAAACAAGCAAAATGGATCCCGTTGAGTACAACGGATGTGAGGGGTGCTAATACCTTCCCCTCGCATAATCGACTTTTGTACCCTCTCTTATGGTTATAAGACCATCTTATCCATCCTCTTGGGGTTTTCTCGATATGTCCCCTTCCTTTGGGATAAATAAAGTTGAGTGGGGGCTCTGTGTTTTTTGTCAGTCGCTTCAGCTGGCGACTCTACTGGGGAGCCTATGCAAGTCAATCCTAGTTTTTTTTTTTATTTGTTTCTTTGGGTGTTTATTTATTTACTTTATTTGATTTACCGCTTTATTTATTTATTGCTTTCTTTTGTATATATTGCATTATACTGTTTCTACTCACATATTCTAGATATGATGTATATTCCATGATGTTGGGTGGGTGATTTCATTTGATAACTCTTATACCCGGACTTGGGGATACATTTAGGATTAGGATGGGCGGTATAGTCATGTTAACTTTGAGGGAGTAATATCGAAGAAGGAGACCTGAGATCCCCCACTCAGTGGAGGTCCCCTTGAATGTAGCATTGTTTACCGAGTAATCGGGAAGACATTGCTGCTTTCGACCTGGGAACCAGACAAGCTAAGAGCCGTAGAACTATTAACCCGTCCTGGCCTTTTAGGTGTAGTGCGGAGACTATGACAGAGTAATCCGGAAGTAGGTGTCACGCGATGCTGCACTCGGACGAGTTTTTCCTGCAAATATTACTAATTACCGAGTAATTGGGACGTTGGTAATATCCAAAGGAAAAGCGTAGACTCTTGAGATTTCCCTAGAACCTTGTTCGGAAGGTGATAAACCCCTAGTGCATACCTTATGGGTGGTTACCTTGACCCCATGCTTGTGACATCGGACCTTTGATCCTGTTACTTTCAGTTTATACAAAGGACTACACAATGGTTATCCAGAATATGTGGAGCTGAGATCTCATGCCATATCATACCATGACATCATACCATCATGTATATGCATCTCATATCTAAGGAATTCCAAAGACGAGTCTTATTGGTTGAGCTCTTCAAAAATATATAAAAAATTAAAAGATACTTATGGATAGACGAGTCTTTGGATTTCCTCGGAAATGAAGATGAAACATGCATTCATATTATCATGCATTCATTATTCACAACAAAAACTTATTGGGGTCACTTTTCGACCAGACTTCAGTGAACAATAAAGACGACTTCCCTACATACCTACCGTACAAGAAGCAACCAGCGAAGACTTATGGATCTCTTCGAAGAAAATCAGAATGCTCTCCGCTGAGATATGGACACCATGGGCATCTGAATGGATCAGCTTATTGAAACCCTTCATGTTGTCATCAAGGGTCAAAAAGAGCTACATCAAAGTGTTCCCAAGCTTGCCACTGCTGCCCCCCTCTACTTCTGCAAATAGAGGGAATAATAATGTAAATGTTGAAACCCCTACAGGAATTCCTCTGAATGATGTTGATGATCATCACGATGTCATTGATTTTGATGAGCCCCAAGCGAATCTCGCCGCTGGAGTTTGCTGAAACTACAAACATGTTTCATGCTCTTGAAGAGCGTCTCAAAGCTATAGAAGGTATCAAGACTTCAAGATTCAATGTTGCTGCAACGTGCCTCGTGCCAGGGGTAGTTATTCCTCCCTGTTGTACCCCAAAATTTGCCCTCTCATATTTTTCCAAGATTTTCTTCTTGCATAGTGTTGTACCCCAAAATTTGCCCTCCCATATTCTTCAAAGTTTTGACAAGCATCACCTCAAATGGTTCAAAGTCTACTCAAGGGCTACACAGTCAACCATCCTCCTAACACAGTCAAATTAGGGTTTTGGTTCCTGCAAGGAAGTTGAGGTTTTCAAGGGCTCAATCAAGTCCCTTATGCTCATACACATTGTCAAGCACATACATGTCAAGTTTCAAGGCTCACAAGGTCAAGTTGCACAGTCAAAAGTCCCATTTGCTCAACAGTCAACTGTAGGGGCAAAATGGTCATTTGGCAGTCAAAAGTCAAACTTTTTGGTCAACATCTTATTTTGAAGCCACAATCATCATTTGATCAAGTCTT